CACCTCCACTGTCACCTCCACTGTCACCTCCACTGACACCTCCACTGACACCTCCACTGTCACCTCCACTGACACCTCTACTGTCACCTCCACTGTCGCTCCTTTGTTTTTCTGGCCCAACCAGTCATGGTTTGGCAGATGCATGAAGTTTGGGCGATCACCCTCTGCGGGGTCGGGCCTGCGGGGGATGAAAGCCCTTCTCTGCTTGCTAACAGACGCATTTGAAGGAGCGCTTTAATCTCACACCTAAACCTGCAGGGTGATGCAGGAGTTGCCCTGTGGCTATGGATTTGAGTATCATTTTCAGTCAACTGGTCAACTTTTGGAACAGCAGTGACTGACTTACCTAACACATCTATTTCATGTAGATGGCCAGACTGTTCTACCACAAGCCCCAGTTTGCGATCCTGGATGAGTGCACCAGTGCAGTGAGTGTGGATGTTGAGGATTACATCTACACCCATTGCAGGACGGTATGTCTTTGCATATACATAAATATAGCACATGTGCACATTCGTTTACATCTGGACCCACATTTGTTGGGGGGCTCTGCTGAACTGGGGCCAGTTAGAGAGTGACTAAATTATGTGAACCTGCTCACTGGCACGACTCCTCCCGTCCAGTTTAATCATTTCTTCATTCAGTCATATCAAAGTGCATCTTGGAATTCATTGGTTTCTAGAAGTTTCCCTGTTTACAGAAACTGAACAGTTAAATGTTAGTTTGACTTCTCAGTGATGTCAGGGACTGACCTTGATCTGAATTCATTGCTTTCAGAATAGCATCTGTCCAGCGCCCTCCTTTAACTGTTGTCAGTCTAAACTGAAGCTGTCAAGTCACTGAATCCAGATCAACCTCAGAGGGCTCAGCCAGTCCTGAGCATGCAGCTTCTACTACTAACTAAACTCAGACACGCAGAAGCTGCTATCAGCTTTAAAGAAAGAGCAACAAAACTGAGGTGTTGGTCAAAAAGCTGAAGTCAGAAGGGTTAGTTAGTTAATCAGCCACCACACAGCTCACTGGCTGCTACCCAACAAGGCTCTCTGGCACTAGAGCTCACCTTTCTCTGGCCTGAAGTACCTTTAAACTCTGATGGGGGTCAGCTGTATGAACAGGTCCATTTGAAAGGAGGCACTGCTGGGGCCGTAACACACTATGAGCTTTTGCAGCAGGGTTGGAGATGATGTGGCGAAATCTCACCATGGTGTTCTTTAAAACGGGGGTTTGTTTTTTATCTCAACAGGTGGGCATCACCTTGTTCACTGTGTCTCACAGGAAATCCCTGTGGAAACATCATGAGGTAGGACTGGATGTTCTTATGATTCAAAGTCCAGGGCTCTAGACTAACTTTTTGACATGGGCGCACCGGTACGCCTAACTTAAAAAATTTAGGCGTACCCGCACAAAAGTTAGGCGCACTCAAATTTTTCAACCGCATCGCTTAACACCGCAGTTTTACATGTGCACTTTCTTTGGGGGGGAAGTCCATACAGACAATATTCATTTCTAAATTATTAACTGACAATCTTGTGCTTAAAGTGCTTTGTCAATATTGTAGAAAATGTTAAACTTAATCATCATCTCGGCTCCTCTGACGACCTGTTTGCTGTTGTCTGCTGCTGAAAGGCAGTGGTAGAGGGAACACTTGGGCAGTGCATTTATCGCAGCATATAATGTGTTTCCTGGATACACTGTGCTTTTTCAGCGTTCAAAGATTGATGGCACCGTGTCAGAGCTGGCTATGAATTTCAGACGGATCAGGCCTTAACTTAACAAAAAAAGTTATCAATAATTCTTTTCATCTTTTCTTATTACCCACAGCTACATCCACTTCTCTCAGGCCTAGGCTGCTCACTAGGGCTGGGTATCATCACTGATTTCTATAATCCATTCGATTCCGGTTCTCTCAGTCCTGATTTGATTCAATTTAGCCTCAGACAGTCAGAAATATTATAATTCTGATCATTTATCAGCACTGACTTCATCAGAATTGTGAACATCACAGCAGATGCCTTTGTGTGAAAGTAACTGAGAATAAAACACAGAAAAACATGAAGGAGATTTTCCTTGTCTGGCTTTTTATAGCAGATAACCTTAAAAATATTCTACAATATTCTGCAAATTTGCATAATTTTAAGAAGTTTGCATTTCTTCAGTAGTGAACAGCAGAAATCAGGCTTTCTTGTCTGAGGTCATTTAAGTGAAAAAAGAAAAAGACAGCAGCCACAGCGCTGTGAACAACGGTAGACTGGTGGGTAATAAGCCAGTGAATAATGCAGAAAACAGATTTGAGACGGGAAACTGTTCCTGAAGTACAGAGAGAGAGAGCTGTGCAGAAAGTGTGATTTTTATTTTTTATTTTTTTAATAGTCGTGGAAGCAAAACAGCAGAATTCATGACGACATTGATCAAATGTGAAGCGCAGTTTGCTGCTTCTTTTGCTGCTGGCTCGGTGGATTTTGGTTGGAGAGACAAAACCTGCAGCTCAGAATCAGCGCAAAAAGACGTAATCACAGCGCGGACCGGACGCATCAGGATCGCTGAGCTCCGACAGCGTGTCCGTCCACGGGCCGTCGGGTGAGAAAGCCGAGAAAGACAAAGCTGATTCTGATGCGTCGGGTCTGTGTTTACGTCTTTGTGTGGAGTCCGTTAATGAATCGATATCGCTTTATTCAAGCTACTCACCTCTCTCTTCCACCTGCACTTTCAACTGGACCACGGCCAATCAGAGAGGTCCCGCCCCTCACTATCTCTGATTGGTTTAGTCCACGATAGGGGCATAATGTGTGTCTGTTGTTGACCACACGGAGAGTTGCAGAGACTTTTTTTTTTTGTTACCCGAACAGTTGGTCGCACAGGTGCAACCAAATATTTATTTTTAGCCGCACCACTGAAAAATTTGGTCGCATTTGCGAGCCCTGAAAGTGCAGATCCTGTCATTGTGTCAGCGCTCGGCTTCATTGTTGAGGCTGAGCAGACCACTCATAGTGCAGATTTGAGTGAGTCTGTGCACAGTTCAGACTAACACGTCTGTAACGGTCAGTGATTAAGGCTTCACACCAACTGTATTCAGGGTGGTTTGTTGTTTCAGGGGCACCAAAGCTTCCCCCCTCATCTACTCACTATGATTAGAAGCAGAGTCATTACGATGTCCAGTGTTGATAAACTGTACAGTATGTGATGTGCCACACACTGTGTAATGTTGGCCGCTGAGTCTCTTGATCTTATTGGTCGCGATCATGAAGAGAGGAATCCTATTGGTTGAAGCTGTGCTCGGATCCTTGCTGTCACCGCTATGCTAACGTCAGTGAAACGGTCAATGCTACGACGTGCTGGTGCTTTTATGAGTGAGCTTATCCTGAGCCTCCTTGATGTCTCATTGGGTTACTGCTCATTAGTTTGTGCAGTATAGTCAACCAATGACAACAAAGTCTTTGTGTCACTGTAGAGTAACCTGTGAATAGTGACGGACCTCCCAGTTCTTCTTCATGTGTGTACAGAAACATGTTGATCTTGGTGCTTACTGTTCCCTAACCATCTGACACGTGGTTACATTTGTAACTGATCTCTTTGCTGTTGTAAACGACATCTTTGTATTGGTAAATGTGTTTTAACCCACTGGTCTCTTTATTTCTCTCCTTCCCACACTCACTCTGTGTTTCTGGATCTGTCCTGTAGTATTATCTGCACATGGATGGACGAGGAAACTACGAGTTCAAGCCCATCACAGAGGAAACAGTCGAGTTTGGTTCATAACTACCAGCTGCTGACACTGGCGCAGACTTCCTGTTGATTTAGAAACCCGTCCTGTGTTCTTTCTGTTTAGTGTTTTTGTTGGGTGGGTTGCACTCGTGGCAGCAGTTCAAACTACGCACTGTTAAATCCTTATCACTGTTGTCCTGTCGAAACAATAATTTGTCCACTGCCAAACGTCTGTTTCCAGCCTTTAGGCTATTTCACACTAAGAAGTAGACTCATGCTACTGTGTCACCACTGCAGTCATGGATCATAACAGTACCAGGTTTGCTTGTAATGAGGAGCAGGAGCTGTTCTTCATGTGAGTGTGATGCTGCCTACATGTGTCTGTCTGGGAGCTTCTGACTGAAGATGAGAGTTGACCGTTGGACGGTCCTTCACTCGTAATTAATGTTTTAATGAGCTCATTTATGGAAGCAGTTGTGAGGAGGCGGATCCTGTGGCATCACAAACACGTCACACAGGACATCTCGCCTTGTTGCAACCACTCACATTTCTCACTCTGGGTCCGCCTCGCTCTCGGCTAACCTTTAGCTAAACTTGGTTCAGATTCACAATGACTGCTTATTTGTTTTTGTTTGTTGTTTTCAATTGTGGTACCAGGGGGACATCTTGCACTCCACCCACAGGTGACGACGCCAGCAAGCATTTCAACTTTCACATGTAGCTGTGGGTCATAATACCTGTGGGAGTTTGTGGGGAGGGACCCCTTATCTGATGGCATAAATGTGCTTGCTGCTTCTGTCATTACTGGCTGTTTCCCCTGCTCTCAAAGCCGAAGGATAAAGGCCGTCTAAATGTGTCATGGAGTTAAAACAAGTTTGCTCGATGACTTTTTCTGTGGCTGTGGGACAAAGTTATCGAGGCCTGTGGTTGTTTCTTGTTAAACACATTATAAGTGCTGTCACAGACGGCAGCCTGTAGTTTTCCAGAACTTTGCTCTTGTTTAGAAAGCTGGTCTGAATATCTTGACTGTGTGATCGGACAAACGAACAGTGGAGAGATGGAGAAGCAGAATGCAGCTCGTTAAGCTCAGTGCAGCGTTTTTATGAAAAACTGTTGGTAACGGCACGAGCTGTGGTTCTGGGGCTCAGTCATTTGAACCTGGTGGTTGTCAAGCTGCACCTTCTCCTGTTTTTGATCAGTGATGATAAAACTGGTCCACACTTAAACACCAAATCATGACTTTGAGCATTTCCCTTCCCGATGTGTCATTACTAATTTCCATGAATGAAATGTAGATTCTGTGGGTGGTGGGACTGTGTTTGTCTTGGGGGTTTGTACCTTATACTAATGTTTTAAAAATGTAAAGGGGAGCCTTAACTGTGTTGGTATTTTCTATAATTAATGTTATCTCACCTCAGATTAATAAAATAAAGAGTTGTAGAAACGATTTTTGTGTCTGTGCATCCACAGAGAGATGGATTTGTAACGTTTTAGAACAGCCCAACGTTTCCAGTTATTCGTTTAACGAATGAAATGGTGCAAAGTGTTGAACTGCCACAGGTTAAAAATAATAACTTCAGAATCATACAAAAATACTTTTTTGGGGAACTCAACACGGGTAGCAAGAGCTGCTCTGCAGTGATGGAGGTCGATCTTGAAAGCGATCCAGCACATACCTCCACCCCTCCTGGCTCTCCACTCTCACTGCAGCTCAACCTGTCCATCAGCGTTGAGACCAAGAATCCATACTGCTGCTTGCTGATCACGACATCTGTCTTCACCCTAGTTTCAGACGCTGTTTCCATATCATCACACTGTAGTTGCTACAGCCTTGCACATCAACCCTGTTCTCTACCTGAGCTCAGTTAAACATGGAAAAACGTGATTCTATAAACGGGGTGGATGAGGACTCTTGTATAAAGTGCTGAGAGTAGACAGGCGGTGCATGAGAGCCAGTCCATGTACCAAAATATAAATGTGTAGGACTGGTTTTCTTCATACGTTCATTACTTCTATCTGTAATCGCTGTCAACAGGAAGTCCTAAAAACTCCCTGAAAAGCTTTGAGTTGATCCAAAAGGCCACAGTGAGTACTGGCAGGGAGCAGACTTCTCCTGTACTGGCTTCCTTTGAAGTTCTCCCAGTTTGGATTCACCATCTCTATTTTTAAGAAACTTAAAAACATTGCTTTTCATAAAATTACCACAAAAGAACTAAATGTCTTGGTTGATTTTATTTCTGTTGTAACAATGTTTCTCTTATTTGCCCATAAATAGTAACACAATTACAAGGACAATGCAGCTGTGAGTTGTGCAGCATCCATGAAACACCAAGTTTTTTTCTACCAATGTCACATTTTCTGTTATTGATACGTGGGTGTTGTTTATCAGAGGGGATGACTGAAGTGAAGAAACTATCTGGCACTACATCAGTGAAAGTGAATTCACTTCCTACTGGAACGAGCATGGTTATCTTGGAGGGTGGACGGTCCCCGGCTGGGTGGGATTGTTACAGAACATCATCACTATCTCTTGCTTTTCCACGGAGGGTGACAACATCACACTGCTGTGACCCTGTCAGTGCACCAGTCAGCACAGCGCTCTCTGCACAGCCTGTATTTAGTTAAATTACTCTAATTTAGGAATTGCTGTCGTCGTTAGCCTTGAATGATAGTATAATAAAAGTTGCACACTGTAACCACAGGAAACACCCACACAGGTGTTTAATCTCGTTATGTTTTTGCTTTTTTCAGAGGTTTGTCTTTAGAGCTTCCTTTAAAATCATTTCATGCAGAGCAGAAAATACTGCAAGATCCGTGTGAAGGTCTGCACTTTTACTCACTGCAGTGTGTCACAACGTGTCTGCTTAGAGCAACTGCAGTCAGTTTGTACTTTGACCTGCTGATCAGCTGATATCCTGTTTTTCTCGCCCGGCCTGATGCAGGAAGTTTCAGGTTTGTTTCGGTTTTAAACGGGAGCACAGTGAAGCCATGGACAGGCTCATGTGTATAGTGTTGATTCTAAGCTTTCATAACTTGTGGAAAGGCCTCGACGCTGTGGAACAAGGTAGGCTGCTGCTTATGTTAGTCAGTGTTAGGTTAGATTTACAGTGTGATGACCTGTCACACAGGAAGTACATGAAGAGTCATGATTATGGACTGTCAGGTTCGAGCCTCATATTTGAGCTTAAACATATTATTATTACTTTGTTTCCTTGTTGTGACAGGCTGCTAATAAAGTGCCCAAAGTTACAAAACAGGGTATTTGCCAAGTTGTGTGTTTAGTGTAGCTGCATCATTGGTTCATCCCTTGAGCTGGGTACCTTTATAAGGCTTGAATGACTGATAGGTCAGCGTTATAATAACGATAATATTTATTTGTTGGCCCCCTACAACACAAAATAACAAGAACAGTTTTAGAAGATAGGAATACTAAAAAGTTAAGGATGATTAGAGTTGACATGCAAATGAAAATGTTAAGTTTTGAGCTGAGATTTGACTCTGTCAGAGTCGAGCTGTTGAAGGTGTAGTTATGAATTTCAAAGTCAAGGTGCAGCGCAGCGAAAGACTCCAACATGTGAAGTGTCCAGTTTGACGTGAGGAGCAGCTGATTGAGCAGAGGACATGAGAAGGAGTCTAAGGCTGAAGGAGGTCAGAGTCAAAGAACCAAAATATTGTACTGAATACAATGTGGATATAGGGAGCTAGTGAAGCTGAGAATGGGTGCAACAGTCATTGGTGCAGATTTGTGTAGATGTACCATCTGTACCATGTGGAGCCAACTGAGAAGTTTGTTTCTGAGGAGAGCAAAGAGAATGGTATTACAGTCTCCCAAACATGAGGTGGGCAGGGCATGAGCCAGCACACGAGTGCTGTGTTGAAAAAGAAAAATGCAAAGTCTGGCAACAATCTGACTCCTTGGAAGCAAAATATAAAGGAATGAGATGTCTTGAGACTTTCGCACACCATTTAAATTAAAAAAAAAACATCAAAACATGTGTTTTTATTAGTGCTGTCAGCGTTAATCTCCTTAAAATGACCTTAACGCCATAACTGCATTAACCCAGCAAATCTTCGTTAGCAAGTTAGCACGGATTGCCCAATGCGTGGGGCTGCACGGTGTTAGCGCGGTTAGCTGTAGTGTTATTTAGGTCAGTCATTCTCAAACTGTGGTACGCGTACCCCTGGTGGTACTTGGGCTCTCTCTAGTGGTATGCAGGAAATCTCCAATTGTTTTTAGGATTAAAGAATATACCATTGTGGAGGTTTGCAAAGACGACTTGAGACTTCACGAGACTCTTCTGGGAGCCCGAGTCAACCAAAAAACGTCTCCCTGAGCATGAGTTCTCTATGAAGAGCAGCCTTTCCTTATCGCCAGCGGTCGCAGCCGCTACAGAGCGCTGGCAGGCTCGTTTCCCTGGGCCTTGAACCTGCAAAGGCGGCAGACAGCGCCGTGCTGTGGTGCCAAAATGCTGTTGGTAAAAACACAGCTGTTTTCCAAGGCGCCACCGTGCCACGATCCCAGCCAGCATCGATGAGTCAGCCCGGGAGAATCAGTGGGTGGGCAGGAGATGCCGTCGGAACTATCACCTGGATGCCAAAGCTCCTAGTAGCCAGGAGAATACGATCTGGTTCTTCTGCAAGTGAGCGGTAATCCTCCAAGGCCAGCAGCGGGGAGTTGGCGAGGCCAGCTGGCACTGGTGCCGGCAACTGTCAGAGGAAGACGTGAGTGAAGAGAAATCCGCCATCATCCATTCTTAGCAAGGACAGCGTGCGCTCCATGAGCTCAAGAGCGGTACCATCACCCAGGCCTGAGAGAGAGAGGAGTATCTTGGCCCGCTCTGCATCGGAGAGGGAGTAGCGGCGCAGCAGCAGCGCCTTGAGAGCGGTGAATTTCCCTTGGGTGGGGGGAGCCCAGAGAAGGGTCATCACACAGCGGGTCATCGCACCAGATCCAGCGAGGCCACCACATGGTGTTATTTAGTTTCTGAAATGCCACAAAGAGCAAACTGAGGTTCGATGTCCACGGACCACGAAGAGTTGTGAAGCCAAAAATCCGGCAGCTTAATCACCACAACAAAAATTAAACCGTACAGCTCTGCTAGCACTTCCAACATAAATGAAGACAGAAAACTAAACAGCAGTGACGTTTGTAGGGTTACTGAAGTTGGGCTAGCTGGTATATAATGATGTGCTACGTGACCGCTAACTACACAGCTATGTTAGCATAACACAAACAGTGAAGATGGAGGATGAACGCTAACTTTTTTCCACTCTGTAAAAGTTAACGTGAGGGTTCCCAATCGTTAGGGACAAATCCAGTCGCCATCGGCGTAACTTTGTGCTGAACATTTGGGGGGTCAAGATCTCTGTCTAAATAAATAAATAAATCTGAGTAAATTCCCAGATGATTAAACATTCAACTATTTTGCTGGTAATAACTGAAATGAGTAAAGAAAATCAACAGCCTTATTTACTGTATGCAAGATAATTCATAATTTTATTGGGGGGGTATATTGGTTGGGTCTGATTAATGGCGGGGGAGGGGGGGGTCATAACCCGCCTAATCCCTCTGGAAATTACGCCCCTGGCAGTCGCATGACAGGATGCTGTAAACGGACCAAACTTCAGTCAGGAGAACAACTGCAATACGAGGTTAGTCATTCATATACTGCTGCATGGGCTGGAGTTACATCGTAAGGGTTTAAACACTGAGCTTTAAAATGAACCGTGGTAATAAAATCCGAGAGAGGCCAACAGGGCTTGATCAGATTAAACAGAACAAGATCGAAAGCATTAAAACAAGTTGAAAACACAACAGCCTTAATAATCTCAGAGTAGTTTGGACTGACGCAGGTTTCATCGGGTCATCACTTAAAGATTGGCTATCCCACCTGCTGTGAATGTTTTAATGCAGTATACTGCATTAAAACATTCACAGTATATATACAGTTGTTATTATTATCACTTGTCATGTCCTGTTTATGAAAGTTGAAATAAAATTCATTCATATAAGAAATAAAATTGTCTTGTGTAAACTGTATGTGGTGTTAAATAGGCCCATACTACTGTACTTTAATGTCAGTCATAAGGGTGGTACTTTAAGAGCCATATATTTATTGAGGTGGTACTCATTGTGAAACGGTTGAGAACCACTGATTTAGGTCACATGGCACCACTAGAGGGCAGCATGGGGCACAATATTTAGTGCTGTTGTTGCCCAGCCAAAGTAATAAAGAAGAAGGTTGTGGGTGTGAATCCACCATCTGGCCAGGGCCTGTCTGTTTGAATGTTCACCATTTGTTTTCATTAAGGCATTTCACACATAGTTTTTAAACCACAAAACCATTCACATGTATGTATCTGTCTGTGGATGGTGCGCATGTGTTGAGAAAAGTGTCTTCATTGTCTGTAGGTGTGCTGAACTTTGTGGTGCTTGCAGACTGGGGT